TGCTGGGCTCAGGTGATCCTTCCGCCTCAGCCTTCCAAGTAGCTGGAACTACAGGCGTGCACTACCACGCCCGGCTAATTTTTTAAAATTTTTATTGTAGAGACCAAATTGCACCGGCTGGTCTTGAACCCCCGGACTACCAATCTTCGCACCTGGGTCTCCTAAAGTGCTTGGATTACAGGCGTGAGACAGGGTCTCTTCTTTCTGTTGCCCAGGCTGGAGTACTGTGGTGCAATCATAGTTCGCTATAACCTAGAACTCCTGGACTCGAACGATCCTCCTGCCTCAGTCTCCCAAGTAGCTGTGACTACAGGCACAAGCCACAGCGCCCGGCCTGTTTCTTTAAAATGGCATAACACTGTCCACCTTGTGGGCTTTCCGTGAGCCGCAGTCACTCTGGGGAGGGTCCCGCCATGATGGCCCCGCTCACCTTTGCTGGTGTACTTTCTTCTGCCTCTGCCTGGCCTCCTCTTTTCTCCCTTCTCTGCTTTGTCAAACCCTCCAGTGTCCAGCTCTGAGAACCTGGAGCCCCGAGCCTCTGCTCCAACAGGCGCCCCTCACTGTCCTGCTGTGTGCATGTGTCCGCCTCCTAGGCCTCTCCTCCAGGAGCTCCCAGAGGCCTGCAGTGCGCCACCCTCTGCGCAGCTCTGGTGCGTGGGGGAATTCCCTACGCCCCCTCCCTCCTGGCAGCTCTGCCCCGCAGGGCTCCATCCTGGGCAGTTCTGGTTGGTTTGTCAAGGACATTCTTAATGGCCACGGCAACCTGGCAGGGCGGGGGCGGGGGAAGATGTTGATTGGTGGAACACACACCTGTCCAGGTGCCTGGAGCCAGAGGCAAGGGAGGCTCTGTGAGAGGCGTGCCAGCCGCGGTTGCAGCAGGAGGGCTGACAGGTGAGGAGCCACTGGGTCCGGAGCTGGGGAGCAGGACAGCTAGGGCCAGTTAGGGCCAGACGGGCAGGGCAGAGGGGGACAGGGGCAGGAGCCGGAGCCTCACTTTGAACCTGGAGGGGTCTCTTTCTGGGCCTGGGGTTTTCCGGCCTCTGTGGCCCGAGCCATGGGTAGGGGGTGGGCACAGGGAGCCAGAGCCACCCATGGGGAAGCCAGTGGAAAACTGAAGGGCAAAGAGACTCACAGCAGAAGCAGCCAGAGGCGTGGGAAGGAGAAGTAGCCTTTCGACTCAGCCTCCCGAGCAATGGGACTCCCGGCATGCACCGCCACGCCTGGCTAATGTTTTGGTTGTTTTTGCTAAGTTGCCCAGGATGTTCTTAAACTGTGGGTTCAAGTGCTCCTCCTGCCTCAGCCTCCCAAAGTGCTGGGATTACAGGCGTGAGCCACCATGCCCAGCAGTTTCCTTTTTATCTGGGAGAGTATTGGAAGGGCCGAGGCAGGGCCAGGATGTTGGTCCATCCCTCTGTCCCCGCCCCCAGGGCCTGATGGAGGAGCTGGTGGGGCTGCGTGAGGGCTCCTCAGGGGACCCTGTGACTCTGCAGGAGCTGTGGGGCCCGTGTCCCCGCATCCGCCGAGGCATCCGAGGTGAGAGCCAGGTCCCCTTCCCTTTCCCATCAAAGACGCCGCAGGACACACCCCAGTCCCATTCCACCTGGAAGCCCAAGGGCTGCCCTCCTTCCCTCTGGACATCACTACCCAGTCTCTCGGTGGCAGGGAGGGAAGGGATCTCTCCGTCTGTCTGTGGGTCAAGTGGGCCAGGGATCTGCCTTCTGGCTTCCAGGAGATACAGTGCAAAACCTGGTCACTGTACCTACCTCTGCCCTCGCCTATCTGTGCCAGTGAGGGCCCGAGGGTCAGCTGCTGGGACAGCTGGAGCCACAGTGAGTGGCTGGGGGAGTGTGGACTTGGCCCCTTTCCTGGGTGTCCCATGTGCACGGTTGCCTTTTTTTTTTTTTTTTAGTAGGTGTCTCACTCTGCCACCCAGGCTGGAGTGCAGTGCCATGCTCATGGTCACCACAGCCTCAACCTGCTGGGCTCAGGCGATCCTTCTGCCTCAGCCTTCCAAGTAGCTGGAACCACAGGTGCATGCCACCACTCCTGGCTATTTTTAAAACTTATAGTAGAGGTTGGTCTCCAACCCCTGGGCTCAGGCAATCCTCTTGCCTCTGCCTCCCAAAGTGCTGGGATTACAGGTGTGAGCCACCGCGCCTGGCTCACTGTTGACTTTGAGATCTGATTGTCCCCTTAGCAAAGGTGCAGAGAAGACAGGGACCCCAGAAGGAGGCTAAGTGCAGTCTAGGGGCTGATGCCCCCAGTTTGGAAGGGCCAGGTCCTGGGCTGAACGGCAGCCGGGGCCAGGGCATTGCAGGGATTCCATAGGAGAAATGGTGCCACAAGCCCTGGGACATGCAGGAGTCTTGCTAGACCCTTGTGCTTTCTAAGCTACAGTTTCTGCTGAGACTGGTGAGAGCTGCAGCCACCCTCATTCTGGGGGAATTACAGCATGAGGAGGGACAGGGAAGCTTCAAGCCCCGCACGCTTCCCTGTCCCTCCTCATTCTGTCATTCCCCCAGTGCGGGCAGGGGTATGGACAGCGGACAAGTTCAAGGCCCTCCGCCAGGGCAGCAGGCCTGGCACCCACAGTGACACCACTCTGACCTACCACAAATCCCACTCGGCCCCTGTGTGAAGCAGAGCCCCCTGGAGCTACCCCAGACTCCACTGCCTGGCCCCCGCCCCACCCTGGGCTGTGACCTCACGTCCTGCCCCAGGTGGCCTGGAGTGGCTGAAGCAGAAGCTGTTCCGCGTGGGCGAGGACTGGTACTTTCTGATGACCCTCGGAGTGCTCATGGCCCTGATCAGCTACACCATGAACTTCGCCATTGGGCGTGTGGTCCGAGGTAAGCCTCCCCGGCACTCACTCTGGACCAAGCGATTCTGTGGCTGCTCCAGGGGATGCCAGAGGGGCCCCAGGTGCAGCGGGGGTTGGGGGAGAGTCTTGGGCAGAGATCTGGCCCTGGCTTCGCTCCTGACTTGCTGTGTGACCCCGGAGAGGCTCCTGCCCCTCTCTGGGCCTCAGTCCCCTCACTGTACAGTGAGGGAGAGAGACCTGAATGTTCCCAAGAGCCCTTCCTCCTCTGAGCTCTCTGCCCTCTCTTCATGCCATTCCTGTTCCTTCTCCCTGGGAAGAGGGGAAGGAAGGCACTTGCTTAGCCCACCAAGCATAGAGCTTTCCCCATCCTCCAGCAGCCTGTCTCCACCCTGAGGCTGTCCTGGAAGAAGGGGTATGGAGCGGGAAGGGTCTAGGGCGGTGTCTCTGGAGACCCTTAACTGACATCTTTGGTTGTCATTTAATTCTCAGTAGGGACCTCGGTAGTCTTTGGGGACTAAGAGGGAGAGCCCATCCCAAGCCCATTTGACAGATGGGGAGACAGAGGCTCAGAGAGGTTGAGTCACTTGCCCAGAGTCACTCAGCTCGGAAGTGGCAAAACTGGGATGCGCACCCAGGGTCGTGCTCCTGCCTCTTCTTGGGGGTCTGCCATTCACTAGGTGGCCCGGGGCCTCCCCTCTCCGAGCCTCCATTTCCTGGTCAGTAAGTGGGCACCGCAGCGTCTGGCCCCAGGGCTGCAGAGACAGGGGGTGGCTCCCTGACACCCGGCCCCGTCCTCAGCGCACAAGTGGCTGTACCGGGAGATCGGGGACAGCCACCTGCTCCGGTACCTGTCCTGGACCGTGTTCCCCGTGGCTCTTGTCTCCTTCTCCTCCGGCTTCTCCCAGAGCATCACACCCTTCTCTGGAGGTGAGTCTCTGGTGACCATGGTCCCCGCTGGCCTGAATCTACCCACTTCCCATAAAGCTTATGATGGTGGGGGGCGGAGACGGGAAGCTGCAGCCCCATTTCACAGCCAAGAAGTGGCTCAGAAGAGTTGTGTCACTTGTCAGAAGCCACACAGCGAGAAGGTCAGATCTTGACTCTTAGGTCGCTGCTGGCTCTACCCACTTTCCAAGGGCTCTTTGGGACATGATGGGAGGACTGGTGACAGGTTCCCCTGGGCCAGGAAATGAGCTCCCCCAGGCCTCAGCTCTGCCTCCAGCTCCGGGACAGAAGAGGGAAGCTCAGGGGTGCTTCTGGTGGGCCCTCCTCATCCTACCACAGCCGTCCACCAGGCCTGGCAGGAAGAACATGGACAATTCATGTTCCCTCTCTGGCCCTCAGCTTCTTTGTCTGCAAAATGAGTCCATGAATCCTAACATCAGAGGGTTGAGGCTCTGGCATGCTCATATTATGAAAACATGACGCAGGATGGCACGTTAAGAGTTTTTAATCTTGCCGGGCACGGTGGCTCACACCTATTATCCCAGTATTGTGGGAGGCAGAGGTGAGAGGATTGCATGAGCCCAGGGACTCGAGACCAGCCTGGGCAACTTGGCGAGACTTCATCTCTACAATAAATCAAAAAATCAGCCAGACGTGGTGGCATGCACCTGTCGTTCCAGGCGAAAGGATGGCCTGAGCCCAGTAGGTCGAGGCTGCCTTGGCTGTGAGTGTGCTACTGCACTCCAGCCTGGGTCACAGAGTGAGAGATCAAACTCAAAAAAAAGAAAAAAAAGAGTTTTAATTTTGTGGTACCCCCCACCTTGTCCCTGTCTGCTCCCTCCACTCCCCCCCAACCACCCCCCCCAGGTTCTGGAATCCCGGAGCTGAAGACCATCCTGTCAGGTGTGGTCCTGGATGACTACCTGGACATCAAGAACTTTGGGGCCAAGGTGGTGGGCCTTTCCTGCACGCTGGCCTCTGGCAGCACCATCTTCCTGGGCAAAGTGGTACGGGCAGGCGTGAGGATGCCCCCACCCACCCAGGGCCTGCCCTCCTGCCCACCTCAGCCCTCCCACGTCTCCCCATCCCTCACCAAAGCTGGGTCAGAGGAGGCTCGGGCCAGTCCCTCCCTTTGGGGGGCACAGTCTTGGGGGGAGAGGTGGGCCAGGTCCCCAGAGAGTGACAAAAGCCAGTTCAGGACACCCCTAGGGGTTGGGGAGGCGGAGGAGGAGGGTGGGGAAGCCATGCTGTCTGTGGGTGAGGCTTCCTCTGCTCCCCTCACCCCGGAGGAGGAGAAGGAGGGGGGAAGGGGGGAAGGGGAAGACCAAGGGCCAGGCTCTCCGGGCGGGACGTCCTGTGCCCTGTGCCCACCCCTCGCCTCGGCAGGGCCCCTTTGTGCACCTGTCTGTCATGATCGCCGCCTACCTGGGCCGCGTGCGCACCAAGACCGTCGGGGAGCCTGAGGTCAGGGGCTCAGGAGGGCTTCCCTTGGAGGGAGGGGAGGCAGGAGAGGGGGGGCCTGACTCTGAGCCTGGGGCTGGACTTGGTCCTCCAGAACAAGATCAAGCAAAACGAAATGCTGGTGGCAGCCGCGGCGGTGGGTGTGGCCACGGTCTTCGCAGCACCCTTCAGTGGTGAGACCCTCCCTCACGCCCCTCCCCACACACCCGGGGCTCCTTCACGCCCCTGCCCTCTCTGGGCCTGGCTGAGGGTCCTAAAGAAAAGCCTGGAGCTAATTCTAGTTCTTACATCAGCCCTGCCTTGGGCATGGCCACCCCCGGGTGGGGGAGGGGGCGGGTTGTCAAGAGGCTTCAGGGTTACATTAGACAGACTTGGGTGCTGGGCTTGGTGGCTCAGTCTGTAATCCCGCGCCTTTGGGAGGCTGAGGTGAGTGGATTGCCTGAGTCCGTGGGTTCAAGACCCGCCTGGGCAGCGAGACCTCATTTCTACAATAAATCAAAAAATCAGCCGGGCGTGGTAGCACGTGCCTGTAATTCCTGCTACTTGGAAGGCTGAGGCGGAAGGATCGCCGGAGCCCAGCAGGCGAGGCTGCAGTGGCAGGAAGCGGCCACTGCACTCCAGTCTGGGCGATAGAGTGAGACTCCAACTCAAAAAAATCCAGCTCCCGGCCAGGCTGGGTGGCTCAGCCTGTAATCCCGCGCCTTTGGGAGGCTGAGGTGAGTGGATTGCCTGAGCCCACAGGTTCGAGACCCTCCTGGGCAACTTGGTGAGACCTCATCTCTACAACAAATCAAAAAATTAGCCGGACGTGGTAGCGCGCGCCTGCAATTCCAGCTACTCGGAAGGCTGAGGCGGAAGGATCGCCGGAGCCCAGCAGGTCGAGGCTGCGGTGGCCGGGAGCGGCCACTGCACTCCAGTCTGGGCGACAGAGTGAGACTCCAACTTGAAAGAAAGAAAGAAAGAGAAAAGAAAGAAGGAAGGAAGGAAGGAAAGAAAGAAAGAAAGAGAGAGAGAGAGAGAGAGAGAAAGAAAGAAAGAAATTTATCCAGGCGTGGTAGTGCGCACCTGTAGTCCCAGCTACTTGGGAAGCTGAGGCAGAAGGATCGCCTAAGCCCAGGAGGTCAAGACTGAGGTGAGCTGTGAGCATGCCACTGCACTCCGACCTGGGTGACAGAGTGAGCCCCTGACTCAGAAGGAAGGAAGAAAGGTAAGAAGGTAGGAAGGAAGGAAAGAAGGAAGGAATCCAGTTCCCTCAGTGTGGCCCTGGCCAGCTGGCCTCTCTGAGCCTGCTTCTTCCTCAGGGGGCATCAGCCCCTACTGACGGTGAGGAGAGGCGCTCCCAGGGCTCGTGCCCGGCCATCCAGGCTGCAGGCCGGCAGGACAGAAGGGGTCAGGGAGCAGGTGACTCGGGGGCCCTGCAGCCAGGGACGGATAGGGGTGGGGAAGGTTTGGCTTGAGCTCTGTGTCACCCCCAGGCGTCCTGTTCAGCATCGAGGTCATGTCTTCCCACTTCTCTGTGTGGGACTACTGGAGGGGCTTCTTCGCTGCCACCTGCGGGGCCTTCATGTTCCGGCTCCTGGCGGTCTTCAACAGCGAGCAGGGTGGGTCCCGCCTGCCTGGGTGCGGGCAAGGGCTGTCCCGTCCCTTCCTCTCCCTCTTCCCCTCCTCCCACCTCCTTCGAAGGGGGGCGGGCTGGCCTGAATTGGGCACAAAGTCTGAGGGTGCTCAGGGTCAAAGGGAGTCAGGGCAGGGAGGCAGGGGCTGGGTTGTGGGGGCCTGGAATGCCAGGAAACGGATATTTGGGTTTGGGACCTGGCACCAGGCATACCCATCCCTGCCTGTTAATCTGGGACTTGGCTTTGGAGGGAGTTAGGGCATCGTCTCGGATCACCTCTTCCCGCAGAGACCATCACCTCCCTCTACAAGACCAGTTTCCGAGTGGACGTGCCCTTCGACCTGCCAGAGATCTTCTTTTTTGTGGCACTGGGGTGAGTGGGTGCCTTGGGACCCCCAGACCGGGACGCAGCCCCTGGTCCTGGGGAGAAGTTCCAAACTCACCCCCCGCCCCACCGCCAGGGGTATCTGTGGCATCGCGAGCTGCGCCTATCTCTTCTGTCAGCGGACCTTCCTCGGCTTCGTCAAGACCAATCGGTTCAGCTCCAAACTGCTGGCCACCAGGTGGGCTTTGGGCTGGAGCCTCTCAGGGAGCCTTATGTAGAAAGCCCCACCCCCTACTGAACCCCCTGTCCCCCACTGAGCCCCCAAGCTCCTCCCTAGGCCTGTCCTCACGGATAGAGCCCTGACCCCCCTTCCAATCCCCAGTCACTGCCCTTCCCACCTTCCTGGGCTAAACCCCCTCATGTGACCTCACCCTCCCTGAGCCCACTCCCTTCGGGTCCCTTCTCCCTGAAACACGGGGATCCCAGGGAAATAGGACCCCCTGGGACGCCCTAGCCCTGCCCTGGCCCAGCTCTGTCCTCCCTCCCAGCCTGTGTCCGCCCGGGCTCTTCTGCCAGCCCCTGCCCTATGACAGGAGTGGCGTGGGGCTGACCTCTGTGTTCCACCCCCAGAGGGTGCCCAGCCCGTGTCATCCGCCCCAGTTGTTGCCTTGTTGTCAGGCCCTTGGTGTCAGTGGGGGGCTCTGCTCCTGCCTGAGAAAGGCCCTGTTTCCGCCTCCATGGGGAAGGGGAGGGGGGTTGGCCCTGGAGCTTGCTCTCCAGCAAGCCTGGACTCCCCCCCAGCAAACATCTTTCCTGCCCCCCAGCAAGCCTCTGTACTCCGCCCTGGCCGCCTTGGTTCTTGCCTCCAACACTTACCCACCTGGCGCGGGCCGCTTCCTGGCTTCTCGGGTAAGGGACTGAGCTGGGAATGCGCGTGGAACCCCCGTCCGCTGCCCCCTCGTGTGTGCGATCTCATGCAACCTCTGCAACACCCCATAAGGGACACGCCCGGGTGTCGTCTGACAGATGAGGAAACTG